CTGCCCAAACAGCCACCCGTGACTAGTGGCTAGCGTGCTGGACGCCACAGTGCTAGAGAAACATTGATGATCCCTGTGAAACACCAAGATCTGAGGTTCGGCAGACTTAATATTTGTAAACTAGAACAGAAAACGAAAGGACAGACCCCAGGAGAAGTAGCCACAGATGACAACAGCTGCTGCTGAGACAGCATAACCCAATGATTCTTAACCTGTGTTCTGTGGCACACTGGTGTGCCACGAGACAGTTGGAGGTGTGCCACAGAGAACAACAGATTTCAAAATGGCCACCCTTAAAGGGGAAGATGACTTTTTTTTAATTTTTGCTCAATAACTTTCCCTGGCCCTTTTTTTTCCCCTCAACAAAAAATCCTTGGTGTTGCTCTTAAAAAAATTGTTTGGTGTTCCTCAGTCTTAAAAAGTTTAAGAAACACTGGCATAACCTGTGCTAACTCCAGTGCAGGTCTTTGCCTCCTTCGGGAGGGGTGACTGAATTAAGGGGTGTCGTAATGTGGGGCAGTGCTGGAGAATACAGGGAGGGTTCCCAAGTTTTTTCTTTGTGAATATAAGGAAGCTGTGCTCCCATAACAAAACAAACCAGTCCAATATTCCGTTCTGATTCATATGGATAGAAAATGTATGAAGCGCATCAGGCGATATTTTACCCCCGCCTTCGAGTGACAGCGTTTCTCAGCCCACGTAGTCCCCTGCCGTGTGCCCAGGGGCCAGGCACAGCGTGGCAGTGCATGTGCTGAGAGACTAGCCCTCGCCTGACCGCAGGGCCAGACTTCCACACAGCATGGGCTAACTCTGGGCCTGACCGAACTTGGATCACAACTACACGACTTTGGCTGGCTTCCGCCGGGGTGGGCGTCACACTGTGCTTATAGTGGTGCTCATTGCGCCCAGGGAATGGCCTTGTTGCCTATTTTCCTTATGCACGTGTGTTGGGTTTAAGTAATTGCAGGCAAAATCTGCCTGCCCACAGAACGATGCAAGGTCCTGACTCTGATGCTGACGGGGTAAGCTAACAAGAAGACACAAATCTGATTCTTCAGTCACGTTTCAGCTTCCTCGCTCCACTTTGCTGAGCTGTGCATACCCCTCCAGCAAAAGCAGTGTATCCCCGCAAACAGGCCTTGGATAGAGAATCAAGAGGCCTGGGTTTTATTCCTGGCTCTGACACCGATTTGCTCTGTGTCCTTGGGCAAATCCCTTCACCTCTGACCCACACACCACACTTCACAGTCCTACCCTAATAACCTCTTTTTGCAATTTGTCTTGGCTTACCTTAGGTTGTGTGTGCTTCAGGGCAGGAATCATCTCAACAAGTCTGGCTCAATGAGGCCCCGATCACAGCTGGGATTTTTAGAGGCTACGGTTCCATACTAAACGATTGTTTTTCCCATCCCCAGTCCTCCTCTACCACACAACAGGGCGGATTTATTTGACCTCAGTAAAGACCAAGAGCTCAACCTTGCCTATGTGTCTTCGGTACCTCATGGCGGCATCGAACAAGTTCGAATTCACTGGCTACTGGAACTAATTACGGTGGGGTGAGTGAACCTTTCTGAAGCGCCACACTTAGGAGTGGAACGCGTTTGGGGGAGGGGGAGGAAGGAAGTCCCATTTGCTGCGGTGGGAGGTCAGATACACTTCGACTCAGGCACATTGTCCAAAAACACCTGTTGAACCTGTGACAAGGCTTCACCTCTTTAACTACCTCAGCCTGTGCGTGTGAGGTAAGTTGTATGTTCCTTTGTATGGCTGGTAAGGCTGCTGTGCCCTGGAAATCAAGGAAATGCCTCTGTGAGGTGAGCGTCCTAGGAACACATGAGAAGAAGACTGGGGGAGTTACTGCATTTAACTTCTCTCCCTGCGTGTATCGGCTCACATGGAACCACCTGCTCCCCACGCTGCTGCCTCTGGATCAAAGGCAGCAAGGGGGTGCATTATAATTAACCGATAAGTTTATCAGTTAATCATGTAAACAACTACACGCTAACAACCCTACTCTGAATTCTAGGGTATAAGCTTGAGGTAGCTTAGGTCTAGAAATTCAGATCTGCCTCACCATTAAACTAGCGTTACTCCCTGTAAATCGGCAGGATTGCACCAGTGGAGACGTAAAACTTCTAATTAAATCACCTTCCTTTTCTGAATCACTTGAAGTAAGTTCACTAAGAAATATGAATGGAGCTTCTTTTCCTATGGATGATTCCATGGGAGCTTTGAGGGAGGTTTTGCAAAGGAACAATGAAACTGAAAGGAACGTGTTTGTTGTGGCTCGTGGGCTCCTCCCCTGGGCTGGGCCACCGCTGTCCACATCTCCCATCTGCCTTGGTAATAAATCAGCTGTTCTGCTGAATATAACACTGAATATTATGGAGTACATGATGCAGTTCTTCTCTCTTTTACAATTTCTTAATCTAAGCTGATTTTACATTTTAAATGTACCCTTAGGCCTTCATCACGTAACCATTCCAGATTGCTACATATTTAAATTCCCTGAAACAAAGACATTATTTTAAATGAATCAGTCAGAGCATTTTAGTATGTTTGTAACAAAGAACATTGCTTTTAGGGGGAAAAAAGGAACACTAATTTATTTTGTATGATTTTCATAGCCGTAGGCATGTCTATGCAATTTCACCACATGTTAATGTTAAAAATAGGTTTTCAAAGGTTGTAGGCATCACAAAGGATGTTATATCTTACTAGAGTGCTGATTTTGGTGGAGGGTACCACGCTAGGGGGGCGCCGGGCTGGGTTGGGAGCAGAGCGCACGCTGCTCTGGCCCACATGATCAGCAGAGACCCAGGAGCTGAGCACGTGATGCCTCCCTCTACACACTTTGAGCCGAGGCAGCAGGGCCGAGCAGCAGGAGCAGCGACTTTAAAAGTCAGATTAACTTACCCGGCTGTCCCGTTCCCTGGCTCTGCAGGAGGGAGCAGGGGGAAGAGGGGGTGGCGGGATACTCTCAGCGCTGGGGATGCCTGGCTCTCCCCTCTTTCTTTTCCTCTACAGAATTTTTTTCCCGGTGGTTTTTCTTGGGGGGAGGGAGGTGTTCGGTATTTTTGGTGAAGTCATCTGGCAGCCCTAATGGGTCAGCGGTTCCTGACCCAAAAAAGGTTCCCCACTCCTGCTTTACGGGCTCTCTTCTACAGAAGAGTGAAAGGAGATTAGGGATGGATAGAAAAGATAAGAAAACTGTGGAAGCAAGTTATTGTACTATAGCAATTAAAATAAAATGTGTATTTTAGATAAGGGTCTTTTGAAGAATTTATTTTAAAAACGGTCCATCTGAAGAGCCAAACATTTAAGGCTACAACTGAATAGTCAGACTGTGCCTCTAAATATCTAGCCAAGGATTTTTTTTTTAGAGATGTGGTTTTATAATCTTCAGCAATGAACGAGTGAAATATTTCAAGCACGTTTTAAAAACAGAGGTCCTGTAGACATAGTCATGCCCAATTGGTTTTGTCAGTAAATTCACGTGCCGGTCAAATGGCTTCGTGGCTCTTTCATGGGTTCAGCGTGCTGCTCATCGGGCTGGCAGGCTGGAAGGCTTTTTGGGGAAGATTCATCAGTCTGCAACAGGCTGCTGGGGGAGCCTTCAGGAACCATCAGAATAGGGAGAGAAAGGGGTTGAGCACTAAAACGTAGGGAAGGCATTGCCTCTCCTTGCCTCTTATACCCACCACACACAGAAGAGGTCTGGCTGGCCAGAGTTTAAAAGCCAGCCCTGCAGTAGTGCCAAGGAACTAGGTCCCGGGGAGACTGCTCTCCGGGACCCACAAACCCTCAGGTTCATGAGACACAGCTAGCATTATCAGCTCAGACTTGCACAACATACACCAGGCCTGTGGTGCGCAAGTCTGATGCCGGAGAATGGAGAAGTAATTTACAAGCTGCTTTATGGTCCCACATCTGCATTGGGAAGTGGCAGGACCAGAGGGGAGGGGGGGGCCCGCTGCCTCCCGGGGTGCCCGCCTGACTCCTCCCATCTGATCCCTGACCACACCCCTAGTTGCGCCATCTGCAGGTGAGATGTGGCGCTGCGGAGCTGCTTGCTTTCTCCTGTCCCGCGGGCAGAGATGTCTGCCGACTTTTACGTAACAGGGACACATATGGCCCTTTGAAACTAAACAGCAGAGCCCCCCGCCAAAACCGGTCTGTCCCGGGCAAACTGCACAGCCCCGTGGATGCTATAGAAGAGCAGTTCGTGCATCTTTTTGTCCTCCTCCCCAAAGTAGCCCCCTCTTGCCAGAGAGTCAATCACTGAGGGGCTGCAGCAAGCCAGAAGAACGGTGATGTTTAGCTCATTGTAATCTTTCTGGATTTCCTTTAATGTGATGATCCCGGCCGAGTCCAGAAACGTAACTGAAGAACAGTCGATGATGATGGTGTGGAAATCTATTTGTTTAGGGACCAGGTGGGAGGCTGTCTCTGCCTCATCCAATCCCTTAACAACTGAGCCTCGGTTTCCCTTTTTCAGGTGCTCTTTTTGCTTCTTCTCAGTCTTTCTCCTTCTAGCAGCTTCCAGAGTAGGCTCTAGCCCAGTCCTTCTGTAGAGAGACTTCAGAAAAAAGTCTTTATTTGCATAATACAGTGGTGCCTCAAAACGGAATATTTTGGCGTGGGGGACAGGAGAGAGACTTTCATATTCCCAGTCATCTTCGTAGAAGGCCGTGCCCTGGATCTGACCCAGCAGGCCGGTCCGGGGTCGCTGCGTGCGAACAATGATGCACAGCATGGAAAAGACGACCCCCACCAAAAGCCCCATTTCTGTGCTGATCAGGGCAGACGAGAAGACAGTAACGCCCCAGACCAGCGCGTCCACTTTGTTCACACGGCACCGCTGGGGCAGGTCTCGAAACTTGCGCAGAGCCCCGCGGAGGCTGACGATGATGATGCACGCCAAAACGCACTTTTGCAAAGAGTAGAACAGCGGCGCCAGGAAGAGCAGCACCAGCAGCACGACCGCCGCGCTGACGACGCTGGAGACCTGTGTCTGGCAGCCCGTGGACGTTTTCACGAGCGTTTTCGCCAGGGCGGCGCTGGTGGCGAAACAGTGGAAGAAGGAAGGGATGATGTTGCAGAACCCGATGGCGAACATTTCCTGATTGGGGCGGACTGTGTAGGCGTACTTCTTGGCAAACATTTCGGAGAGGGAGATAGTGAATGCAAAGCCAACGATGGCCAGCGGCACCGCATCCACCGCCACCCGTCGCATCAGCTGAAAATGGGGCAGCTCTGGGGGAATAAATCCGGTTGGGATTGCACCCGAAACACTGGAGGCGTACACTTCATTCAGCTTCCCATAGTGGGAGACCAGGGTAGCTACAATGATAACCACCAGCTCCGTGGGCAGTGGCATTTTCAGCTGACGCTTGTACCGATCGCCCAGCTCTTTTGCAGCGACGAGCACAGCAATGCAAACCGCGCTCGTGATCACGTCGCATGGGTTGGCTTGAGTAATGTTTTGAAAAATACTAATCCAGGTGGTTACCAAGATCCCATGCCCTTGGCTGCGTGGGATTTTTACTCCGATCAGGTACTTCACTTGGGCCGTTAAAATGATTAACGAAGCGCCTGTTGCAAACCCATCCAGCACGGGCTCGGAAAGGTACACGGAGACAAATCCTAGACGAAAGACGCCCATCAGAACCTGAAAGAAAAGCAAGAGGGTGAGAGCAAAAGCAGCCTTCAACTTTTGATAGCAGCCTTCAACTTGTTGAAGGGAGGTTCCAAAGAGGATGGAGAGAGGCTGTTCTCAGTGGTGACAGATGGCAGAACAAGGAGCAATGGTCTCAAGTTACAGTGGGAGAGGTCTAGGTTGGATATTAGGAAAAACTATTCCACTAGGAGAGTGGGGAAGCACTGGGATGGGTTCCCTAGGGAGGGGGTGGAATCTCCATTCCTAGAGGTTTTTAATTCTCAGCTTGTCAAAGCCCTGGCTGGGATGATTGAGTTGGGATTGGTCCTGCCTAGAGCAGGGGGCTGGACGGATGCTTTAATGGAATCTGACTTCCAGTCTTCCCTTAGCAACGTACCTGATAAACTCCCGCCAGAAAAGTCAAGGCGGTAGCGACTCCGATGGCGTAGCAGTCTTTCCCGCACGCCGCACTCCACGCCCCCAATGTCAGGTTGAAGGCGGTCCCATTCCAATGGCTGCCGTTCCACCTGTCGCTGTGGCGGGCGGCGTCAGCCTCGTCATTAGGGTCAAACCCCGCCAAGAGGAGCTCCCTGTCCACAACCTGCCCGACCATGAGACATAAGAGGCTGAAAATGCCAACCGACACATGGCGAGAGGTGCCCATCAGGAAATAAATGAGGTTGGCAAAGAACGAGGTGTACAGGCTATAAATAGGCTGCAGCCCAGCTAGCAGCGAATACGCTATTGCTTGGGGCACCAAAATGATACCAATCACCACCCCGGACATAACGTCCCCCCATATGTATTCTCGGCAGCGGTACTTGGGAAGCCACCGTAACACAGGGAAGAAGCCCATGACTATGTTCTTCAGTCTCTTAGTCGTGCAGGAACAGCTCTTCCTCAGTTTGGCTTGGATGATCTGTCTCCAACGGAGCTGGACATGAACCTTTCTTTCCATTAGAAGTGGCGGTGCCGCACTGACATCCATCTTGATAGCTTGTGTTTGCTTTTCCATTTCCTGGGCGGTCACTTAATCTGTCAGCTCCTAAGAGGCAAAGAAAGGGCGAGTTAGGTTCCACTGCAGCAGGTAGAACAAGGCAGGCTCCATGCATTGCAGTCCGAGAGGCCCCAAAAGTGGAGCCTTTTGGCCCCAAAATTCCCACCTCTAAAAACTGACGATGGAAGCCCATTGCTTCCCGTTCGTGAAACACTAATCCAATCCGCTACTCTAAACATTACCCTAAAGCTTGGGAAGGGATCAGCCACCCACGGCTAGCTAAGAAAACTGGAAAACAGAGCTCGTGAAGAAGCAATAGCTCAAAGTTCTCTGGCAAAGACTTAACAATAAATTCTCAGGAATTAGCTTCGGTCCATTAAGCAAAAGCAAAGCGGAACCGATAATAAATAATCCAGTCCGCTTGTCTGAATAATGCAGCATAATATGTGCCTCCCCCCCCGAACAACCATGTACTTGAATGCTAAAATTTGATACAATCCTACGACTTCATATATTGAATGCTCCCAGTGGAATGGGAGGGGCAGTCAGACCGTAAGACAGCATTTGATCCTGGTTTGGGAAACAACATGCCTTGTGGTGATCCATCACCTCCAGATGTTCTTTGTCAACAGCAAGAGGGTTAAGCTCACAAAGCATTAAACTCAGCAGTAGAGGGAGCCAGGGGGGTGTCATGCCTTGTTGCAACCTTGGGAAAGCGTATATTGGTTATACTGAGTAATCGGAAACCTCTGTAGATGCTTCTGAGTAATCTTTATTTCAGCTGGGAAAGACGGTGCAATTTAGCAAAGCTGATGTTTATTTTTTTTCTTATAGTACTACCAGTCCTAAATCTGGGCTCCAACATTCTGAGCTGTTTACACTGAGCAAAACATCCCTGGTTAGAAATTCCTGGGAGTAAACTAGTGCAAAAGTATAGCAGAATGGAAGAATGAGAATGAAATAATATAAGGACAAGAGGACACCAAAGCAGGTTTAAAACTAATAAGAGAAAGCTCTTCATCACACAGTGCATAGTCAACCTGTGGAACTCCTTGCCAGAGGAGGCTGTGAAGGCTAGAACTATAACAGAGTTTAAAGAGAAGCTAGATAAATTCATGGAGGTTAGGTCCATAAAAGGCTATTAGCCAGGGGTAGGAATGGTGTCCCTGGCCTATGTTTGTCAGAGGCTGGAGATGGATGGCACGAGACAAATGGCTTGATCATTGTCTTTGGTCCACCCCCTCTGGGGCACCTGGTGTTGGCCGCTGTCGGCAGACAGGATACTGGGCTAGATGGACCTTTGGTCTGACCCAGTATGGCCGTTCTTATGTTCTTATGAAATAATAGAAGACGGTTTCATATTTAAATATCACACACTCAAAAGGTACTGGTAGCAAAGTTCAGCTTTTAAAACGTGGAGGAAAAATATGTTTGTAGCCTTCTTACCTGAATGAGTCCTGAAAATACCAAGATTGCACCCAAAGAATGAAAGTCCCATTAAAATGCCACTGACTTCTCCCAGCCCAGTGAGTGTGGGCAAGCAGGCAAGAGAAAGAAACGCAGCTTTAATCACAAACGGGCAGGCAGTTCCGTTATCAAACCGACAGTTGTGATAAGCTTACTCACAGGACCGGCAAACCAGACTGAAAATGTCAGTGCACTGTCACTGCTAGTCTTCCACCAAGCTAACAATCCAGCTGTTTACTTAAAAATGTTACATTTCCAAAGAAACGCAATAGGTAGGGATCACCTAAGGATAGTGGGTACCATTATCAGGCTGAAGCAAAATGACAGTTTGGAAGTTGGTAGGAAGTTGATTTATCTGACAAGCCGCTATTTCGAGTACAGCATAGATAGTGACTCGGATGGTTGTTAGAAAATTGGAGATGTCACTATCTGCAAAAAGCAGCAGTAACTGAATCTTTTCAGCTATCCAGTTGAGTTTGTGAGTCTGCGCGTTCAAGGACTCCTCCTAAACAGCAAGAGCTAGGAGCACCAAATCTCCCCACATTTCTGCGAGCCTTGGTCAGGTGTGAACAGGTGTGCCAAGTCAATGTGCGGGGTGTCATTCACTCGCTGCGATATTTGGAGTTAGTGGTGTCAGTTCCTACTGGGCACTGCTTGCATGTTGCATCATCCAATATCTGTGATTACTTTTAGGGTGTAATGATAGCTGCTAGGATATAACCAATCTAGTTCAAATAACAGATGGGCTACATTCCCAGCACAAAAGGACTCTGATGGTGTAACCTAAAATAAATGGACTCCCATCTTTGTGGCTTGCTCTAAACGTTGCATTTGAAATGTAAATTACAGCTCTGTGTATATAGGTCAATCCTACTCCTATGTAAGTCACTGGATATTTTTTCCCTGGAAGTAAGGTCTGCCTTTTAGTCAAGGGAAACCACCCTTAAAGAAAGCACACAGCTAAAGTAATTATACTTAAAGGCAACATGTAACTGTCATGCCCTTCTACGTTTCTACTTACATGCTTAGAGTCCAGATGCCGATCTCAGTTACATTGGTGTCAACCCACAGCAAAGCAGTAAAGCACTCCAGACTTCAATGAAGACGAGATCAGAATATGGTAAAATGTATTTCCTGGTTAGAAAAATATTCTAACCAAGATGTTTAGCTTCTGCTGCAGGATTAATCCCAAGCATTACAAAAAAATGCTGAGCCCAAAAGGACAATGATCTAAAAACTCTGAGCAAACCAGCTTGTCAGAAAGTCGATGGAGCCAAGTTTTGAATGAGGGCAGGTAGAGTGTTGAATGAACCTCTGCTCACTTGGGTTCTGTTGTTATTGTTGGAAACCATAGAGTGTTTGGTGGGTTGGTTTGTTTTTTCCTAGCCAAGCAAAACCACTCGCTTCAGTGAGTTTCACTTTGAGTTTCAAGATGTTTTGAAGTCACAGTGACACGCACAGGTCATAAGCCTACAGGGACAAAACTGGGTATAAATCCACCACAAACAAAAAAAAGCACATTATTACTTCAGAGACATTTTCAGAGTAAAGCAAGATTGCCATGATCTATGTTTCGCTGTAATTAAAATGTTTATGGACAAAACAGGTTTGCTCTTTTCTAATGTTGACTGTAAAGACTTGGCCTAGTACACGGAAGTCAGATTGCGACTTTCCTGGCACGCAGGTCACCACTGGTAACCCTGATTCAGCTGGTGTTAAAGAGTAGTTAGTTGAAGCAAACACTTCAAGGTGCAGTTTCTGCACTGGCAAGTCCTTAACAACTACAGGGATGATGGGCCAGCCAGAACAGAATCCAGTTACTTTCCCTTCTGCAGCTCTTGTTTTTTTCTCCCACCCATCACCCTGTAATTCATACATTTCTAAGGCCAGCAGGGAACGCTGTAATCACCTTCTGATAACGCAGGTCAGAGACAGGCCGTGCCTGAATTAATTCCTCTTTGTCTAGAACACAGATTTTAGAGAAATATCCAATCTGGACTGAAACATTTGCAGGGAGGGAGAATCCACCAAAGCCTTAGTAATTTGTTCCAGTGGTTAGTTACCCCATGGAAGTGCATTAAGTGCTGTGACTGGCCAGAGGGGTTCTGCCGTATTGAAAATCAGCAGGCAGTTATTACAGAAAGCTCCTGGGAAACCCCTGTCCCAGGTTTGCCATGCCACTGATGGCGAGGTTGGGATGCCTTCTCTGCTTTGGCCAGCCAAGCAAAAAGCTCTCTGCTGTGCTCATAAAAACATTCCAAAGGAGCAAAAAATCGGGTTGGTTTGTTTAAAATTCTAGAGGTTGACACCCTGACAGAATCTTCATTCTCAGTCTCACAAACTAACGAATGTGCTGTGGGTAGTTTCCTAGTAAGTCCTCCTATTAGGTGTTTGTTTGCAAAGATGTGCTGCCTCCTTAAATAGTTGTGGAGAAAACAACAGCAGATTTCCCACGAATATCCCACACTCCCCATTGAAAACTGGCACTGCAAAACGATTGAGGAATATTTTTAAGGAGATCCTTAGAAATCGGGGTCAGCACATCCCTGGCTCAAACAGTGGAACAACGAGTCACACGCACAGCACAGTAGAAAATGGAACAATCCGCGTTGCCAGCAAAGGAGTGAAGAACTTGGCGCAAGTTTATTGCTAACTGGCGAAGAACATCGTAAAAGCACCCTGATTGGTTAATAGCTTAGCGCGGTTAATAATTAAATCACCCCGGGCTTTAAATCATGGATTGCGAAGAACCGCAGGAGACGCATTAAGCGGCCACTGTGAATATCGCTGGTGTGTGGCTGCAGGCTGCTTTGAAACAATAGCTACTAAGCAAGAGGTTTATTCAAGGACTGGGTTTTGTGGTAGAGGCGGCTTATTTACAAATCCCAACCCACTGACAATGCTTTACCAGGACTGTGACCCACTTTCCAGCCAGGCAACGAGTACGTGGAACATTTATGTAACGTATCAAGCAGGGGTGGGGAACCTATGGCCTGGGGGCCGAATCCGGCCCCTTGGACAGTTCAGTCCAGCCTGTTGGGGGTTCAGGTTGGACACTTCTGGCTCCTCGTCCTGCACGTACGTGAGGAGGCACGCACAGGGGAGGTGGCCGGAGGGGCAGCCTTGCCAGGCAGACAGGCTGCAGCACAGGAAGTTCCGGAGCCCCTTCTCTGCGGGAGTGCTCGCCCCCCAGAGCCGTGCTGGGCAGCAGCAGGGAGACGGCAGGCGTCACCTGGGGCGGCTGCAGCAGGGAGCCATGCCAGGTAGCCCCTCCCTGCAGTGTCCAGCCCCAGCCAGGTGCTGCCAGCAACTCCTCCCAAAATCCGTTAAGGAGGTGAGTGGGAGAGACCGGGCGTCCCCGAGGCCCTTCCCTGCACGAGGCCCCCAGAAAAGGGAGGAAGGATTGGTCAGAGACGGGCCCGTCCGAGCACCCTGCAAGGAAAAGCAAACTCAGACATTGCACTCAAATATTAAATCAAAAAGAACTTCCCAGCAAGGGGTTTGTGTGGGTTTTGTGAGAGTGCTCCTCAGTGCAGGGTTTTGTTTTTTAAGTAGCCATTCTTCTACAAAGGAATTTCACCAGCCAATTACGGCATGAGAGTGCGGACCTGGCATTCATCTACTGATCTGACATGGTTTCCCTGGGCTTGAACAAAGCCATTAACTAAATGTCTCCAGTCTCCCCTGCCTCTAACAACTGCATTTTTTACATCTAAACCTAAGTATGGGCCACCCCCAGCCCACTTAATTAGCCTCATTAGCACCACTCCTACAATTGACAGGTACCTCTTTTCCCCCCATTATGAATAACTTGGTTTCTGCTATTTCTACTCCAGCTCATCATCTGAGGAAGTGGGTTAGTCTCTAAGGTGCCACAGGACTACTCGTTGTTTTTAAAGTTACCGACTAACACAGCTCCCCCGGAGAGGGTTTTGGGGAGTGTTGTTTGTGGTTGCTTCTCACTTGCGTGGCCCCTGACTGATTGTTTTGTGGGTTAGTGGCCCTTGACCCAAAGAAGATTCCCCACCCCGATATAAAGTTCCCCAGAAGCATGGCCTGTTGTTTCAAAAGTAACAAGAGCCCCAACTTCTAGCTAAGTTGATGGGAGAACTGCTCCCTTGAAACCTTCACCAGGAAGCATCTAAACTTTTATTCAGAAAAAAGTTCACTCTTACCTGAGTTGTGTCATGAAGAGTCTTTCCAGTGCGCTGTTGGAAACCTGTACCTATCCGAGTGGAAAGTCTTCCGTGAAGCTTTATGCTACATGCCTAATGATGAAATGTAACTCTTCGTGAATCATAAATATCTCATCATTCTGGCTATAAAGAGCCCTGGATAGCGTTATAAAAGTGCAGGAATGAGTGCCAGGCACTCAAAGCAGAGGAGTTTAAATAACGGCTACGATTATAGATTAACTCCTGGTGATCTGAGAATTATGCTGAGCATCAGTCAGATTATCACTGAACTTTGCTCCCTAGTCCAGACTTGTGTGCTTTGCGCATCCGTAGCTGATGGATGGCTTTGGATTTGGCACACAGGATGACCGGGAATGCAATGCAAGTCTTGTCCAAGAGCAGGTGCATTTTGTCAGCACTGAGAAGGGAGCAGGATGGAATTCACGGACATCTGAGTTCCACGAGGGGGTTTGCCGTAGATTTCCCGTGCCTGACGTGCGTTGCGTCAATAACCTCGTTTATCAAAGGAGCGTGGTAAGATTTGGATTGTAAGCTCTTTGGGGCAGCGGCTGTCGTTTTGTTCTGTATGCACAGAGTCTAGCGTAGTGGAGTTCTGGCCCAGGACTGGACTACCACAATTCAAATAATAAATAAGACTAATTTACCTAATGAGAGTCTGTGAAGGAGTTTGCTTATTGCAGGCGCCACCTGTTGGTCAGATGGGGGCATGAAAGGCCCTCTCCTTTCTGAGCGCCCCCTGTTGCCAGCTGCCCCAGCCCTGCAGCGGTCTGTCTCTGTCTTGACTCGTGCCTCCCTACCCCAGCCAGGTGACTCGATTCTGTCGACCCCTTTTGGGGTCCCTGAAGAATCCAGCAAAGGAGCATCCCTCTGGGTTAAGTGAGGGCCTGTAGGTTTCCTCTCAGTTTGAGGTCCTACGGTCTGAAATTTTCTGTCTTCTAGGCTGCTTCCCTGCCCAGAGTGGTATTTCTACTTATTGGAGGATGGAGGAGAAAAGTCCGTTCATAGAATCCTAGAGCTGGAAGAGACCTCAGGAGGTCATCCAGTCCAGCCCCCTGCCCGAGATAGCCCAACTTCGTGTATATTTAAGCCCCCAGAGCACGAATAAAGGGTTTCCTATGCTCAGAAAACGGATCCAACATTTTCTTTGCAACTGAATGTTTCAAACCTTGCTTAGTGTGTGACCGTTCTAACGCAGTGAGCAGGCAGCCTGCAGAGACCTGGCTGAAATGTTAAAACGCTTAAGCCGCCCAATAACCAAGGTGCCCAGTAGTCACACGAGGAAAGCGTGCCCCTAGTGCAGAAGGCTAGTACAGGTCTAGGCACTACTTCAGGCACACGGCTGACAGATTTCAGCACGGCATTAGCCTCATGCAGGCCCTTGGAGCTACAAGCTTATAGTTTGTGGCCAATACACTACTTGCCACTATAGTGTTTATAAAAAGACCAAGATACAGTGCTCCTATACTGTATACAGGCAGACCTGTCAACACCGTACCTGGAACACTCAGGTAAATCCTCGGAGGGCAGTGAATTATTTACATGGGCAGCAGAGCAGTCAAGCATCTATATAAACACATTACCCACTCCTCAAAACACATTTCAGGCTGTGTCTACACGGGGAAGATTTGGTGAAGAAAGTGCTGTCGATATGCAAGTGAAATCTGGTCAAAGCAGTTTTTCGGCCTCCCATTGTCGACATTTCATGGCCACCTTGCTAGCTCACTCCCCTGTCAGCAGATAGAGCAACGCACTGTGGGGAAGCATCCACAGGGCAGTGTGGTAGGAAGGCAGAACGGATTCCTGCACTTCGTGGGATTCCCTCCTAGCTCTGGGAGCTCTCCGTGCCGAGGAGTGTCCAAGCAGCACAGCTGTCTTTCCAGCCCTTCCCCTGCAGCAGCAGCCTGCCTGCCCCTCTGTTCCTAGCAGGGCAGAACAGGATTTGCTCTTTGTTTGTTCCCCAAACGGAGCGGCTCACTCAGCTGTCAGGTACTTCCTGGAGCTTAGCCATGTTACCCATAAATCTTTACACATTCAGTTGTGAGCTAGGCGGTTAGTATTTCACAGCATTGTTAGACTGTCAGTTGTCCCTTGGGAGATTCCTCAGTTTCTCACTGAGAAGTTTGTATGTTTCCCGATGCACTTTGAAAACATAAGATGCAAAGTAATTAATAATCTCAACTTTAAAATGAAACCATCAGTGAATGAATTAAAAACTTAAGATACGATTTTTCAGAAGATTCTATGGGGAAAAACTTTATACCCATGTCAAGTTCTGCCAGACAGGAGGATCTACCTAAGTAGATATTTGCAGGATTAGGCTGTTACAGGGCATATGGCAAAGCCACCTTTTGAAAAGCTCTCTAGGTTTCTAACTACTTGAGGTACAACAAGCAGTAAAGTAGTTCCTCCAACAAAACAAGTTTTAGCATTATACATGGAGTTCAGCTAAAATTAACAAGTAAAATAATCATACAACTATTAATCACAAAAGGAAAAAAGTACATGAAATATATAGCCATTATTAACTGCAATACTACATATGCTCATATGCTAATAAAACAAAAAATAAGCTTATATAGTGACATGCAGAGTCATTACTCAGAAAATGAGATTCTAGGCTGTTTCATTTAATGTGACACACTCAGTTCAGTAGCCACTGTAACAGGGAATTTCAGTAACAGTTCTCACGAGTGTGTTTTAAAATGTCTAATGAAGTAAAGACATTCCGTAGCACAAAGGCAGTTACACCCTAGCCACCATTTGTGCCTTTAAAAACAATTTCTCTCTTGGTCTTCTATCCAGGATGTATCATTTTCCCGGGGGCGTATTCACGCGGAATTAAGCACAGGTTACATCAGAATGTTCTTGGAAGGTTAGCATGAAATCACGCTGAGCATTTATGTGGAAAAATGCATTGCAGAGCTGATGTGGTTAGGCATTGTGTTCCCTACATGAAATCTGTCAGTTCAGGAAATGCAGCGAGAGGAAAGGGAATGTGCCTAGCTTGGGATGCCGTGAAAAACTGTCCGAAGCATTGGTTGCCGTGAGACCGCTCCTCCAATCAGATGACAATCTTGTGAAAGAGGGGCCAAACCATTGCTCTCTTTGTGATGCACTTGAATGCAAATGATCTGCGCTTAGGTGGCCCGATGTGAAATGTGGCTGCATCTGGATATTAAAAGACCTTACACTGTCAGATTAAACGGCTTCACTTTCTTAGCCTGCTTCCCCGTCCAAAGCTTGAATTTACTTTGTGCCTTCGCTGTTAAAAAAAAAAAAAAAAAAAAGGCCAACAACGTGTTCCTGGCAGAGAAACTCACCTCAGCAACGGGAGCTACAGATCTTGGTCTATGCATCGCTCCTGCCACAGCGCACCTGGGATGAAGGATCCAGAAGCAGGCTGGGGGAGAAGTGGTGAATCATAGGCCGTATCTTATCTTGCCTTGTTTGCTCACATGTGCATCTCCCTCCTGGAGCCTGCCAAACGTCCCCATAGCACAGTGATTTATGATTTGGTGGGCACAGTCAAGGTCAGTGATGTTGATTTCAAGGGGAGGGGGGAACTGGTGGGACCTACGATATGTCAATGAATGCCGGATTCTGTGCTAGTTTATTGAGAGACACCTTGGCTCAACGCCCAACTTTGTGATGGCGTGTGGCAGAGGCAGTAGCGTGGGAGGAAGAGGAGGAGGAGTGATACTTTTTTTAAAGGGGCCCCCTCATTTGTTTCTACCATGCCAGAGATTTGTTCTGCTCCTTTGTGTGCACGTCTCAGGCTGGGCGTTTGTATGGAGAGATGCCCGGTAACAAGCCCTCAAACCAGCAAGGCTGACCACCGGCTCACTGAATAGCGCGCACTGCCCATCCCAGCCACACCTTGGGCCTTGTTTGTTGCTCTATCCGCCCATTCTGTCAGCAGGGGGGCCGCCAGGGCCCGTGTGGATACAGGCACTGCACATGCTGAAGCCTGTACAGCTGAGCAGCCAAGGGGGTTAAAGATCCCCCACATCTCCTGTCTGGTCCTACCCCCCCGCTGGCAGAGGGGCTGGGTTTGGTACCGCCGCACAGCCGGAAGGAGCTGCCTGCACCACGCTCCTCTCCTTTGGCCACAGCATCTCCTGGTAGTTGGACCCTGCAGCTCGGTGGGTACCGATTTCTGCCCACATGCAGATGTTTGTATCCGGGCGGGGCTCTCCGGCTCCATCCTTCGTGTTAACGGAGAAGTCAGAAGGAGGCCTGCTGGGGTGGTGGTGTTTTCCGTCAAGCACCGTCCTGCTTAGGGTGGAATTAGATTTAAAACTACAGGTAAAGGGAAAACCCTGCCCACAGATGAGCCTGGAAACAGCACAGCCTGTGTAGCTCCTGCCGCAAAGTGCTCGTTGTGGGTGCAACTCCTTTGACTTCCAACGAGCAGCCCGTAGGATCACAGCCGTACAAACCCTTTGCCCCTTTCATTGCATGCTGTTATTCATTAATACCGTCTCTGCCTGCAAGCGGCTTTGCAGCAGTTTTTCATGCCCACCCACCGCGGAAGGAGTTATTGGCTTACAAGGGACTTGGAAGAAAACTCACCCAGCAAGAGTGGAGGAAACGACCCTCCAAGGAGCGGCCGTTGAGACGAGGCAGTTCCCAAACAAACCCTTTGCCCCTTTCATTGCATGCTGTTATTCATTAATACCGTCTCTGCCTGCAAGCGGCTTTGCAGCAGTTTTTCATGCCCACCCACCGCGGAAGGAGTTATTGGCTTACAAGGGACTTGGAAGAAAACTCACCCAGCAAGAGTGGAGGAAACGACCCTCCAAGGAGCGGCCGTTGAGACGAGGCAGTTCCCAATGGCATGGAGTTCCTTGGGGTTTACGTTAACATCAGCAAGAGCTGTGTGTGCTTTGCAGAAGAGGGCCCTCTTGGAGCCAAGAAGGAATACAGCCTGCACACACAACCCCACCAAGTTCATGCCTAAAAGCAACCGGAAATAAGAGCTGGGGACTTCCAAGGCAATCTGCTGCCCTAATGGGAAAGGAGGAACATTTTAACTCCGTCTCGGCAGAGCTCTTGTCTTCATCCTGAAACTCGGCAAGCCCAAGCAAGTCGGGCTCGCCTGTCCCACACGTCTCCTGTAAATCCCTCCGGGCTCGGGGAATGTGTTCACTCTGCAAAGGTGACCGAGAGGGGCAAACTCCACAGGGGAAGAGGCTGAGCGGGAATGGGCCATTGTGTTCTCAAATCCTTTCAGTGACCACCCCAAGAAGCATCAACAGTTCACCCTCTCTAGCAAATCTGCAAAGACGTGGACCCGTAACCTGTCACCTCCCTGCTAGTCTCCAGGTCCCGTGGAGATGTAAAATTAGGTGTCTCACCCTCCACAGAATAAGTGCTACAGTGATGTTCTTCAAGACCATCTGCAGCAGCTGGTGTTTCTCTTCTGTGACAGGGCATTTATTCATCTACCTAGTTCTATGGTATTAGACCTACAGCTATTGCAAAGGGCTCCAGTTGTTTGAGGACAGTAATGCTCCTTCATGGAGAGTGAGGAAGATACCATGCAGGCCGTGGTCAATGGGGCATACAAGGTGAGAAGCAGGAGTAATTTCTGCACAACCACACAGCAAGTAGTGACACTCAAAGGGCCAGATTGTGAGGTCAGCGTGAGTTCTTCATCAAGTAACTGCTTATTAAGGGGAGTCACGTTGTCCTAAGCTGCCTCCAAATAAGTCAAAATTTTGTTAATGTGGCTGACCAGCAGAAATAAATCAGAAAGGCTCCCATCTGTACTGCACACAGCATCAGAAAAGCGGAGACTAAGGGGGGATAGGATAGAGGTCTAGAAAATCATGACTGGTGTGGAAAAAGTGAATAAGGAAAAGTTATTTAACTTATTCCCACAATATAAGAACTAGGGGTCAGCAAATGAAAGTAATAGGCAGGAGGTTTAGAACAAACAAAAGGAAGTTTTTTTTCCCTCAGTGCAGTCAAACTCTGGAACTCCTTGCCAGAGGATGCGGTGAAGGCTAAGACTTTAACAGGATTCAAAAAAGAGCTAGATAGATTCATGGAGGTTAGGTCCATCAATGGCTATTAACCAGGCTGGGCAGAAATGGTGTCCCCAGCCTCTGTTTCTCGGGAGGTGGGTGACAGGAGAGGGATCACTTGAGGATTACCAGGTGTGTTCCCTCCCTCTGGGGCATCTGGTACTGGGCTGGATGGACCATTGGTCTGACCTCGTATGGCCGTTCTTACGTTCTTATTACTTCTGTAGTGGATGGCAGTAGGCAACTGTTTAGTCTTCCCTCTTAAGGGATCTTTTGACAACACCATCATATCTCTGGATTCTCAGATATACCTGCAAAAGAAACAGGACCCTGCTTTCTTTACAGTGTGTACACAGTCAGAAGGCTATTGTACTTCTGTTCTACCAATTGAACTGTGGTGTTGGGGTTTTGCAGGCAAATCAAGTTAATCATTGTTATACTTGCTGACAGCCTGTGAGCAAATATTTCAGTAGGATGCAAGGTGTAACTGGAAATAGTGTTAACAGATCTGAGTGAGCAGAACTCCTCTTGGCAACAATCACATTCAGCTTTGGACCTTGACTGTCAGACTTCATAGCTGACCTGAATGCAAGTCAAAGGAGGTCCGGCACTGGTGAGGCCACGGCTAGAGTACTCTATCTAGTTTTTGGGCAGTACAATATAGGGAAGATGTGGACAAACTGGAGAGAGTCCAGAAAGGATCAACAAAAATAATACGAGGTTTAGGGAACCTGACCTATGATGAAAAGTTTAAACAAACCTGGGGGTGCTTAGTCTTGAGAAGAGAAGATGAAGAACACAAGAGATGCCATAGACAGTTTGGGATTCCTTCCCTTTCCACAGATGCCTCATGCCGTGACACAGAACGGATCAGTGTGGGCGCCATACACAGTAGGAAATGGGGTAAGATGGACTAGCTAGACGCTGGTTGCTGAGGCAAGACTTCTCTTTACGAGAGGCGCTTTGTCTCCCGACAAATTGCGTTTGTGCGTCTGGTCATTCCCTTCTTTCCACCAGTTTGCGGGGGAACCTGACCACCCTCTTCCAAAATGTTAACAGCTGTAATAAAGAGGACAATAGTCAATTGTTCTCCATGTTCCCTGAAGGTAGGATAAGTAGTAATGGGCTTAATATGCCGCAAGGGAGTCAGGTTAGATAGCAGGGGAAAAAACTGTCTAATGGTGAGGCTAGTTAAGTACAGGAATAGGTTTCCAAAGGAGGCTGTAGAATTCCTGTCACTGGGAAGGGGGCATTAAGAATAGCTTTGATAAACACCTGTCAGGGATTGTCTAGGTGTACTTGGTCCTGCCTCAGTATAGGGGACTGGCCAAGAAAGCCCTTCAAAGTCCCAAGTAGCACCGCATTTCTGTGATTCTGGATGGACTGTCCTGGTTCCTCTTCAGGTCACCAACCTTCCAGTCTTTCTTCTCTAGGCAGTCTTATAGACCCTCCTCATTCATACACTCACTACTCCAGGGGCATAATAGGGTCTCCATTCAAGTCTGTCCCATAAAGGAGAGCAGCTAAAGAAAAGAAGCAGAAGTTCTGTCTCTCCATTTCCCCTGAACTGTGACATAAAGAGTCGAACACTGGATGCCCTATCACTTTTTGCCTTGCGTTTCTGTGCACTACAGTCATCTCTTGCACTGTGATCAATCCCTAAATGGTTAATCAACTAGTTACTCTGAGCATGGTGTGGATAAACGTGTCCATATGCACAGGTCTTCTCCCAGGGCAACAATAAATTACATTTTCAGAATATTTTCACACAGGATGAGAGTTATTCTTTTTTTGATGGCTGGTGTGTGCCAATACAAAACCGAAAATAACCAAAGCACACACATGCATGGGCACGTTCTGCAGATGAACATGAAAAATGCTCTTAATGTTCATTTATGCCTGCAAAGGTGATTGGGACAAATGGGTTTTGTGGGGAAAAGTATAATTCTTAGGTGCTAGTGTTTAGGCTGGGATGCTAGCCTAGGATGTGCATAAAAGGAAACATCCAAAAATATGGCCCTAGAAGTACAAGGAATGGATTTTCTGGCAGTCTCACAAGCTGTTAACACTGGAACATAGTTGTTGTAGATATGTGTTTCCATAAATGCAGGAAAGACCTTCTCACTTACCAGCAAATATGTTTATTAATCCTCAGTTGTGCCATAAGCAAAGAAGAATCCAGCTCAGCAACCTCAGTAAGAATTAAAACCATGAGAATTAAACAGTCAGGCATACTTTCATTTGGCATCAGGATGTACTAAGTGACCCATTAGGGACCACAAAACAGGAAACGGAGTAGAGAAAATGTTGCCAAAGCTGCATTTGGTACATAGGGAAGTCATTGGAGATTCACATAACACAATTGAAATCATGGGTAAAAAAACCCATGATCACTCACCAAATGTGCTATGTTGCTTATGTTCCTTCCTCTGGGAGACAAGAATGCCATGGGTTGGGCAAAGAAAAACTGGTGCATTTATGGGGGTGGGTGGGGAATAAAATAGAACCTTGGCAGACCACTGCTGCTATATTTACCTGCGCCTCTGCAAGTACCAGCGATCACAGCTCCCATTAGCCATGGATCACCGTTCCCAGCTAATGGGAGTAGCAGGAAGTGGCGCGGACTAGCACACTGCTTCCCGCAGCTCCCATTGGCTGGGAATGGAGAACCGTGGCCAATGGGAGCTGCAATCACCCATTTTTGCAGAGGCACGGGTAAGTATAGTGGTGGCAACCTCATGATCCCATCTACATGTTTTGTTAGTCTGTAAAGTGCTACCAGACCATTTGTTGTTTTTTCTGTAACAGACTAACTTGGCTACCCCCTGAAGCTTCTGGATCTAGCCTGCGGGCCATTATTTGCCCACCCCGGCTTAATGCTATAGACACCTGCTACTTTAAAAAGAAAAAAAAACATCTCATATGAAAATCTTTAGATGTACCATACTGGTCCTTGTGTGCCAGCTGAGAGCAGGCCTCTTAACCATACATAATACAGCCTTCTTTATTCTGGAGCCAAATGCTGGCTTCATTAGAATAATCACATTATGGCAAAACTGTTTTAAAATCAGAATAACGTAGGTATTTCTGAACAGCTGAAACGTTGCTGTTCGGTGTACATCTAAAGCAGTTGATCAATTTGAAACAAAGCTTTTGTTTGTATTGATTATAAAAAGCGATACAGTGTCACTATTTAACAAATGTAATTATTTGTTTAACAGTAGCCCCTTGCGGCCAACCAAAAATGGAGCCCTGCACCATTGTGTTACGTGCTATATAAAGTGTAACACAATTGCTGTATTAGTTAGATATGTTTTATAATATTCATATTGCTTACTTTAGCTATTTCCTTTGGCTTGTACCTTTAATTGCCTATATTCTGTAGAATGACAGATGGAAAACTTCACTACAACTTTACCAGTCTGGATAACTTGATGGATCTTCTCTGGAAAAACAAATTAATTCCAGGTAAGGATCTGCCCCCCCCCCCCCAACCCCAACATGTTGTATCAAATTTTACAGTCATCCGACTAAACAGCTGACTTCAAAGTGAATTTTGCCAAAGCAGATTTTGGTCTGAAATTAGTTCTTTTCTACCTATGTTTGACTCCCAATAATGTAAATGGAAATTCTGCACCCTGGGAATAAAGTAAAGCAGCACATTTTTCCATAAGTACTTTGGCCTTAATCGGAGATTTCTGAACTGAAAACTGCAATGGAAAAATACCCATGAAGGAACCAAAGAGGACACATTCCTAAACTCATCTCCCATATACAAATGTACATGCCTGTAAGTCACTCTCCAATTTATAAGCTGAGGTGGTAACTCCTAACACTGCTGATTTCACTGACAAGCACTGAATTTGAACAACCTCAAAACCGAAGTAGCTGTTGGTGTGGAACTAGCATGCAGCGTCAGAAAAGGTAGCCCGTTTAATGTCACTAATTCCTTGTGTTTCCGAGGGGTAGCCGTGTTAGTCTGGTAGGGTGCATCTACACAGTACCCTTAGCTCGAAATAAGCTACGCAATTTACAAATTGCGTAGCTTATTTCAATGTTATTTTGAAATATCTTATTTCATAATTTGGCACTGTCTACACAGCACCAAATTTTGAATAGCATGATATTCTGAAATTCTCCCTAATCCTCATGGGAACGAGGGTTAACCGGGATGTTGGAATAAGCCATCTGTTATTTCGAAATAACAGGCTGTTTTAATAGAGGTGAAATAGCTATTTCGGGATACTTCCGGTATCCCAAAATAGCTCTGCAGTGTAGACATACCCTAACTGAAAAAACAACAAATAGTCTTGCAGAGACTAACAAAACCCACTTCTTCAAGCTTGTGTAGTTTCAGATTCTTAAGTGTGAATAAGACGCAATAACCTCCTAAGCTAATCAAATGCAAACCAGCTCATGAAAACAGGGAATTAGACTTCTTGTGTTTATTTCAGGGTTTGAATTGATGGGAAGCCCTTCAGGATACTTTACTGATTTTGAAGACAAAAACCAAGTTGTAAGGTGGAGGAACCTTATTGCACTTCTGGCCAAGAGATACATAGGTGAGCTACTAAATAATCCTTGTTAAATAATCAATCCTTTATTCTTCAAAAGTTCTGAGGTTTATCCTTGACTTCAGGATGCATGGCAGCAACTGGGGGAAGGGAAGAGGTTTCAATGGGTTTATGTAAGCAAGCTAAGTTGATCAAATCTTCAACTTGATTTTGGAAAAAGTTTCATAGAAGCGTGAGCTACTTAAACAACTTGATACAAGTAATGGATCTCAGTACCTTTACATTTCTTGCCTTTTGAGTGAGGAGTTCTAATAGAGGCTGAGAACTGTGCACCTAATTCCACTTATCTTTTTTTAGTTTCATTTTCACCACTCAACATTTAACAATAAAACACTAAAAACAGCCCATACAATATATAGCCCAATTAAAAAAAATCAGGTTAAGCCAGACTGTGTGGGCTGAACTCCTGAGGATTAGCGCTTCCAAACTGTTACTAAACCACAGCTAAAAGCACTGTACAAAAAACTAACCTTTCAGTCTCACATCCCTAGGAGACAGGTAAAATAAATACCACTACCCTCCCATTTTGCAGATGGGTAAACTGAGACAAGATGAGTGACATGCCCAAGGGCACACAAGAAGTCAGTGACAGTGCTAGGAAGGAGACTAGAAGAAGCGATGGATTTTGAAGACTTACCAAAAAGTGCTAAATCATATCAAAATCCTGGTCATGAGAGAGATAGCCCAATGTGGTGTAGTTGATAGCAATTTGATAAAAAGACTTTGAATATTAGAGGAAGAAAGCTGGTGTTGATAGCCACAGAGAATGAGAGAAAGATATGCAATTTTTTAGTCACAGAGGGTCAAATCTGAGCCAGGCATACCACTACCACTGAAATCCATGTGAGCTGCAGAGACATCTCAAAGAGCAGAATTTCCTCCACTATATTTGGAAGCCAATGGGTCGGTCCCAAGATCTCTCCTGGAAGTAGGAATTGTCTGTTGCCACACAAAAGCACCGCGTGCAGTCATTAGCTGGAGTAATAAAAGGTCCTGAAGATAAAGATGAACTGGAACATGTCACCAAATGGGACTATTTCCTCTGCAGATCGATATGGGTTGGAACACGTCGCCAAATGGAATTTTGAAACCTGGAATGAGCCAGATCATCACGACTTCGATAATGTGTCAATGAGCATCAACGGTAAGTTTGTGCCTTTTGACCTGGATGTGGGAATGCAGTAGGGGAAAGGCAAGTGGGGTGATAAATTATAGGGCATACGTAGGTATATTCTGTCTTCTAAGGGAGTGGCCCAGGGTATGATCCACCTAACTGCCATTGGTAGTGTGCAGCCCTGGACTGCGTAACATCTCAGGTTAGACATTAACACGAGAGAAAACAGAAATGAGGGTGGGGAATGTGGAATAAGGATGACAGCAGACAATCATGTTTTCTCACCGTTTGGTTATTAACTGAAGCGATGCAATGAGGGTTTTGTTCTGCTTTAAAGCTGTGTGTTTTAATAGATGTGCGCCTTGGTAGCTTGCCCAGGCAAAATCCTTGAGAAGAGTTTCTTGTTGCTGAGTGTATGAAGCCAAGGACGGGGACTTCAAGAACCCCGTTGTGATTGATGTGGAGAGAGGAAGCGGGGGGAAGGCGGCTTCAGACCCATTGTAGGCTGTTAGTTGTGTGTACTTTAATTGCTCCTCGCCTAATGCAGCACTATGAGAACCGGCAGGACTCTTCGGTAACGTTCATCAACGTTTTAAGTTGTAACTATCTCCTGTATGTAATTGTCCCGACTCCAGGCTTCCTCAATTATTACGATGCATGCTCGGAAGGATTAAGAGACGCTAGCTCTTCACTGAGATTTGGAGGCCCGGGAGATTCTTTCCATCCATTCCCAAAGTCACCCATCTGCTGGAGTCTTCTCCGTCACTGCTACAACGGGACCAGCTTCTTCACTGGAGAGACCGGTGTGCGGTTGGACTACATAGCCCTCCATAAGAAGGTCGGTCCATGGTTTCTGAGGGCTTAGTAAAGGAAAACGTACCCGAGAGTATTTCTGAATCCACTGTAGTGCTGAGGTGGCCGGGGCAGCACCTCGGGTTTCTGAAGTTCACTTTCAGATTCTGCTGTGCCTTGATCGGAGGCATTACAGTCCCAGAGGCGTTACAGTCTCTTCAATTGTTCTAACAGACAAACTTCCTTTTACGCTGAATGCTTCCGCACCGAGGCTCTGCCTGAAAGCAACGTGTCAGCCACTTTCACAAGTGGAGGAAGGGGGGAATATACAGTTTTCCCCTTTAAACCAACAGTCTTAACTGTCCATCAACAGTTTTAGGGTGCCAACAGACAAAGCAGAAGTGTTAAATTTGACTGGCAAGTCGGGCAAGCTGATATCTTTTATTGGACCAGCTTCTTTTAGTAGAGGGACAAGCTATACTGGCTGCGGGTCCAATAAAAGATTTTCTCTCACTCACTTTGTCTAATATCCTGGGACTGATGCAGCTACAACACTGTACACAAATCTGACAGGGACACAGGTGCTTGTGTCACCCATGGACTGCTACTGTGACTGTCTTATGCAGTAGAGGTTCCCCAAGGTTTTTGAGGGCAGGGGAAACGTACGGCAATCATTTACCCACAGCAATGATTAATGAGCAATGCTGACTGCTCCCGAGCAATCAGATCCTTAGAGGGTGCCGTGTATGTGGGTGGATTTCTTTTAAGCTTGCATAGCATTATACAAAGTCGTTACCGTCCATACATGAATCCGTTTGCTATGACATGGCGTGTACATGTAATTGTAAGCCTCGACCATAATCGCTGTTTTGCTTTTGTTCTTACACCAGTGGATCACTGGCTCTGTTTGAATCAATGCTTCACCGTTTCTGATATTTCGGGAGAGTTGCGTGTTGATTTTTCTGAATTGCTACATGTACTTGTGAGGCGGGGGTGTATACCATTACAGACATAAATAAGGGGGTGCAATCAAATCAACTTGAGAACTACTGTCCAGAATACCCTCGATGGCACTTTGCTTCTGTCACAAGGGGGCGCTGCTGCTGCTCGGGTGATCAAGCCAAGCAAACAGAGCTCCTGATCATATCTTATAACCGGCTCACAGAACAAGAGACCCACAGTAGACAGATTGTACCCTTGACACGTTTATTGCAAGCAATTCAGGAGGAAATGTTAAAAGCACTATATGTATATTTAGTATTTAAACAATTAAAACAAACAGTGAAAGACATTAAAAGGCACTGCAAACATAAAAAGGCATTAAAAGCAATAATTAAATGGAATACTTAACAATTTAAATCTAATTTTTAACCCAATGTAGAAGCCTAATTCTTAATCCAATTTAACATACACACACTCACCCTCTGGGGCTGGCCGGACCCCAGGGAATATTGGTTAATTTGGTTAAGGCAGAAGTCCGACGTGCATGTCACCCCAATACAGCTGCTCCCCAAGTTGCGATCGGTCAAGTTACGACCGTTCGCACTTACGACCAAAGCTCCCATGGAGCGGCCGTAAAGGCTGTCCCCAAGTTACGAACGCGACCCACGCTTACGAACAGCACGGCTGCATGTAACTCAATGGGGTCCGAGTTACGAACAGCTCGAGTTACAGCCAAGTGTTTAGTCCACAACTCGTTCGTAACTGGGAGAGAGGCTGTATGCTGAATCGATGGACTCCAACTCTTGGGACAAAATGGTGTGGTATATATCCCCTTGGCAGGGGCCAGTCCAGTGAGATGCCATCCACGGGTTGCACACAGTCCAGGTGGGGTGATGTCCATTAGTGACACCCCCTTCTTCTTACTGGTACATCCACGACCGATCCAGAAACACCCGGTTTTTGCACCACCCAATTTTGCTTGTCTCACTAGGAGTGAGAAATAATGTCCTGTCCTTGGTTAGATTCTTCCCTTGTTACTTTTTTTTCTTATCTGCAAATGCTGGAAAAGCTGCCTCAGCACAAATACACAGTTCTTTTATTTCACACGGTTCTTTTCTTAAAGTTGTAAACAAGTCCATAATCGTCCGGGGTTCTTGCCTGGGCCTTAGCATAGCCTCTCTTCAGCTCACTTACTGTTGATTCACTCATGCTAACCATTCACACTACCCATGATTCGTGACACTTCCTCACTGTGGCTTCCGATTGTTACAGGGAGCTGGAAGTTCTCTATACATCTTAGAGCAAGAAACAGAAGCAGTGGCACAAATTCAGAAGTTGTTCCCCAATTTCACCTCCGTTCCTGTATACAATGACGAGGCAGACCCACTGGTGGGATGGTCAGTTCCACAACCGTGGAGAGCTGATGTGACCTACGCAGCCATGGTGGTGAAGGTAACCCATCGCTCGCGTAGTGCCTTCTCCTGATAAGCTCGTCTGCAGAGCAAGTGTGTTGCCAAAAGACTGTTTTCTTAGGTTGCTGAAGGGATTTCAGGAATGGACCTCGGGGGAAAAAATGACAGGCCAAATCCTGGGGTTCTTGCTCTGTTCTCGCACTCTGTTTTTTCAGGCAAACTCCGTTTGAAGTTGGTGGGAATTGATTTGGTCAAGATTTGGCCGTACAAATGAAGGATGCAGTAGCAAGAATGAGGTTTGCATTTCATAGAAGGTTGAGTGTGAAATTTCCCAATTTCATGCCTTAGGAACTCATTTACGGCAGTCTCGTACTCTCACATGGTTGGCTGCCTTCCGGGACCTTGTCGGGAGAGGCCAGAAGATGGTAATAGGCTTTTTGTCAGAGTCAGTTAGCTTTCCACCGCAACAGCCTGCGTATGACCTACTGCCTCCAGACCAGAGGTGGGCAATACACTGGAGGTGGTTCACAGGGTTAGCCGCTGGCAGGCCACCAGTGCTTTATTTACCTGAGCATCTGGCCCTTGCAGCTCCCATTGGCTGCAGATCACCATTCCAAGCCAATGGGAGCTACGGAATCCTGTATGCTGAATAGCAGTTCAGCAGAAATATGGCCGTTGTTAGCATATCAGCAAGAAATTGTTCCCCTCCCCCTGGCATGACTGTCAGTTTCCCCCGTTACTTTCCAGATCATCCTCCAACATCAAAACCTGCTCCTTTCCAAAGCCAACAACACGATCAACTACACTTTGCTGAGCAATGACAACGCCTTCCTGAACTATTACCCCCACTACTTCACCCAGAGAACACTGACCGCGCGATTTCAGATGAACAACACCAAGCCGCCGCATGTCCAGATGGTGAGGAAGCCTGTGCTGACGGTGATGGGGCTGCTGGCGCTACTAGGTATAGTCTATGCTTGTTGTCAGTCACTAAATGCCAATCCCCAGTCACATCTTTACACCGGGTTGGCTATTTCCTCCTCCCCGTTTGTCCAACGGTATGTGCCACAAGGAATGGAGCTTCTACATCTTCCCCCAGGAGTACTGGGGTCAGGCTGTTTTCCTGACAATCCGCTGTTCCTTCTACATTGATCCCATTACTTCTATTTATACCCCCACATGCCTCCTTGGTCAGGACCTTTCCTTGGTGTACGTGGCCTGGTATCCACCCGGTCCAGGGCCAGTTAAGCTATGCTGCTCTTTAATAAGCTTTCCAGCCTCTCAGTCCTGCTGAGCTCCTGCCAAGGTGTCAAGCCAGGCTCTGATTCTCTTAGACACATGCTTAAGTCTTATTGACTGAAAATTGCTTTAGGCATGTTGTACCTCAAGACCCCGCGTGCTAGATGTGGTACAGATGTAGTCAGATTTATGCTGAAGTGCTTTGCAGAATCGGGATTGTATTTCCAGAGCTGAATCGTAGCACTGGAAGGGACTTCAAGAGGTCATCAAGTCCAGTCCCCTGCCCTCGTGGCAGGACCAAGCACCATATCAACCATCCCTGATAGGTATTTGTCTTACTTGCTCTTGAAAATCTCCCATTGTATAACTGAACAGTTTCAGCTATACAATTGACTTCACCAGTGCTACTCCAGAACAGAACATACGAACGGCCGAACTGGGTCAGCTCAAAGGTCCATCCAGCCCGGTATCCTGTCTGCTGACAGGGGCCAATGCCAGATGTCCCCAGAGGGAATGAACAGAACAGGGAATCAACAAGTGATCCCTCCTGTCACCCATTTCCAGCCTCAGACAAACAGAGGCTAGGGACACTATTTCTACCGATCCTGGCTAATAGCCATTAATGGACCTAATCTCCATGAATTTATCTAGCTCTTTTTTTAACCCCGTTAAAGTCTTGGTCTTTACAACATCCTCTGGCAGGGAGTTCCACAGGTTGACTGTGTGTTGCATGAAATACTTCCCTTGGTTTGTTTTAAACCTGCTACCTATTAACTTCATGTGGTGACCCCTAGTTCTTGTGTAATGGGAACAAGCCATTAACTTCTCCTTATTCACTTTCTCTAGACCTGTCATGATTTGATAGACCTCTATCATATCCCCCCCCTTAGTTTCCTCTTTTCTAAGATGAAAAGTCGCAGTCTCTTTAATCTCTCTTCTTATGGGACCCGTTCCAAACCCCTAATCATTTCTTGTTGCCCTTTTCTGAACTTTTTCCAATGTTAAGGTATCTTTTTTGAGATGAGGTGACCATATCTGTATGCAGTATTCAAGATGTGGGCATATCATGGATTTATACAGAGGCAATAAGATATTCCCTCTTGCTGTCTATCCCTTTTTTAATGATTCTGTGTGGGTTTTTTTTGACTGCTACTGCCCATTGAGTGGATGTTTTCAGAGTCAGAATCATGCTGATATAACCAAGTCATCTAGAACTCAGCACTGTATAGACAGTTAGGTTTTTCACCTTTTCACAAGGTCTACAACTGGTCTAGGGACCTTGTATGATAAAAATGTTTTTTACTTTCAGGGGAAAAGCAAGTTTTTGCAGAGATTACCAGCACAGACAAAAGGGCCGACGCAAACACCGTTGGAGTGCTAGCCTCCGTGCACATCGCTGCTGAACGAGGGACTTCAGACAGCTGGCAGGGGCCGCCATACTGATCTATGCTAGTGACGATACCCAGACATCAGCTAACCTCACTGCTGTAACCGTGAACGTCACCCATTTCCCCAGGCACGCAGGTACGCAGGCGGTGTATAGAGATTTGGGTGAGGTAGCCCCAGGAAGAGATTCATGGATTTCCAAAGCGTTCCTTTCATCACTGAGATCACATCTAGCGTTTGTATATTACCAAGCAGATTCCATTTTGACTGGAGATCTCTTCTTACTGGCAGCCCCAGATTGTTTGGGGGCGGCGGGAGATCTTAGGAAAGATTGTGGACTCGGACCCTGGAGATGCCTTTAATTCTACCGTTTCGGAAACAATTGAGCCCAGCTGCCCCAAGCCAGATCTTGCTGAGCCCACAGGGACTGCTCACAATATAACCAAGATATTGAATATTACACAGTTACAGTTTGCTGGTTTTCTCTTCACCCTTTGCTGCTGGTGCCCAGCACCTGTGAAAGCCAAGACACTTCTATTTAGGAGCCAAGACGGGAATTTCAGAGCACAGCATTAAGGACCAAGGCTTGCAACTATTTAGTCTTAGGAACGTGTGAACGTTTTACCCCATGTCCCATTCACTTTCAATGAGATTCAGGCTCCTAAGTCACTTTGAAAAATGGGACTTGGGTTCCTAAGCCCTTTCTGCACTTTTGAAAGTTTTACCCTTCATCTTTACATCCAGAGAAGGAGCTTTACGTGTTTCCTTTGTGTCTCCAAAAGAGCTGGTGTACGTGACATACTACCTGGACAACCACCTCACCAATCCCTATTTGGAGTGGAAGAAAGGAGGCAGCCCCGACTTTCCGTCTGCAAAGCAATTCCGACAAATGAGGGATGCCGAGGTAGGAGGCGTATGCTGTGGGCACGGTCACAGTACCGACGCACTGTTCTTCCACCGGGGTCTCTCCTGGGGGATTATTTAGGGCACTACGCTTAGTATGGACCGAGCCACATGGTTGTCTTCTCTTTCCTTCTTGATTCCCGTGATAAGACTAGGCAGGTAGCAGCATTCCAGCATGCTATCGGCTGAGCCTGCCCCTACCAGGAACCGCAGAGAAAACCCTTTTGTTTGTGTCTGCTCTTTGCTTTGTACGTTAGACTTTACATCTACCTCCACAATCATCTGGGTCAGAAAACGTAGGACTAGTCTCACACAGAAGCAACAGAGGTCTGGCTTCTAACGATCGCCGGAATTCTGCAGGCTCTGGACGCTTTGGAACAAGCTGTACACGGCCCTTGCAAAAACCAATAAATCGTACTCAACCAGCAGTGAGCTCCAGCAAAGAGCAACCAGCCAGCTGGTTTGTGCATGGCTTCTTGCACTTCATGTGGTCCTCAAGGGATTTGTCCAATACTGGCAAATCCAGGCACACACACATGCACAGGAAGAGGTCTAATGCTCTTAGCTGTCTGCGGCTCCCATTCACCCCCTGTACTAGCCACAGTGGCCTCCCAGCAGTGTGTCTGCCATTTGGCACACATCACAAGGTTATTGGTGTCCTTCTTTTCCTGTATTCAACATCACCGAACTTACACACCTTAGCAGCTCGTATTCTCATCTTTGACCCTCGAGGGCACAACCCACATTTTGGGCATCTAGATCCTAACTAATTAGTCAGGCAAACAGGCCTTTTACTCACTGACTAATTAGATCAAGTAGACTAGAGTTTAATGTCAGTAGACATAATGGTGCGTATCAATTTCTGTACATAACGCCACCGTTCTGCTTCGGTTTTGCAGGGCCCAGTGGTGAGAGGACCATTCCCGTTTCCTGGGGACGGCCGCCTCATCATGAAACAGGAGCTGCCAGTTCCATCCGTCTTCCTCCTCCACGTCTGTGCACGACCTCACTCGGCTCCCAATCAAGTACGTCCCATGATTCAGTGGCAGGGTGAAGGGGGGGGAACTGAGTTTGAAACTGCTCCCATGTGGGCTGTTGGAACCCTCAGGGCATGTCTACACTGCGGTTCAAAACCCAGCTGGCTCAGGCAAAGGGACAGTTTAACTTCAGTGACCAAGCGATGCCATGATTTCTGTTCAGGCGAGCCGACGTACTCGCTGGGCCCTGTGGCAAGGGAGGTGAGGCCCGGCTCTGCACTCTGGGAAGGGTGGGGCTGTGAGCGGGGCTGGTGCATCAGCACAGCCTGGGCTACCCCTCCCCCGGCAGCACCCCGGGGCTCTGCCGTGCGCCGAGTAGCGCTCTGGCTGCCATTTAAAGGGCCAGCGGGAGAGCATCGTTCAGGAAACGGTGGGAAGTGCAGCATTTCAGAGGCTTGGAAACTTGGCTTTGAGGCGGGAAAGCCAAGCGCCAGCCGTGGCATTGCAGCTAACGGCCCGCAGGAACGTTCCATCCCTGCGCACAGCTGCGTGACACCCCTGAGGCTGGGAGGCGCTGGGTACCGGCCGTGTGGGAGTCAAGAGCAGTGGGCTTCCGAATGGCCAGGCCAAGCAGCTGGAGAAGAACCACCTAAAACTGAGGTTCAGTCAGGACTGAGGTGTCCCAAGAAAGGGAATGATTCCCGCTGAAATCAAAGGGCGCTCCCTGGGGAAAAGCCTTCCATATTTCGGAACCCACGTTTCAGCCATCCATTTACTTCAAAATAGTTACACCAAGAGTTTGTTGTAAGAGGGTTAAAGGGGACCTGATGCTGCGGCAGCCTCGGAGCCTTATGGGAGCAACTCCCCTCTTTCAGGGATGTTTACGGGAGCTTCTTTCCGCTTGCAGGTGACAGGTGTTCACCTGATACCGCTGACCAAGGGGCAGGTTGCAGTAGTTTGGGACGATGGCTGTGTGGCTTCCAAGTAAGTGCGTTTTCCAGCCCGAGGTCGAGGTAAGAGCAGGGCGCAGACATACCCTTATCCGACCGAGGTCTCTCAGAACTGAGTGACGTTTACTCTCCCAGCAAAGAGCGAGGCACGATCCCTGGAGCTCTGACAGGTGTTTTTCTGAAGCACTTTGCACAGTAGCTTTCGTCGCCAACACGGCTGTTAGGTCCCGTGTGCGATGCCACCAGGAGGGAACCTCCACAAAAGTCTCTGTAGTCAAAGCTGTTGCTTTAGCCAAGCTTGTCAGCGTTGCCCCGGCGGGAGGGGGGGTGGTGTATCGTGAGGAATGCAGAGCTAAAGGGGAATTGTTGCATCCACACCAGCAACCAACCCATATACCCTCATGTGCAGACGGGGGATACAGGACAGCCGACTCGGTGCATCCTTTGGGGGCTGGCTAGCCTCTCCCCTTCCCACCTTTGGGCCTGTGAGATGCTGACTGTCTCTACAGAGGTGCTTAGCCTGGTCTCTCCCCCTAGCGTCTGGGGAAGCTGAAAGGGGCTGCCCGGTTTGTCAGAGCCTCTCAGGCCAGTCAGACAGGCCTAGGGGTTGGCAGGTGTCCGGTTTTCACCTGGACAGTCCGATATTTGTGGCCCGTCAGGTAAAAAAAAAAAAAAAAAAAACAACAACAACAGAAAATACTGGACATGTAAAATGTGACCTTTTTTTTTTTTTTTTTGCTCACTTACTTTGTTCTCCCGTTTTGTTTTGTTTTTGCTCAACCAATTTTTTTCCTGCCATGTTCGGGATTTTTTGTGAAAGCATCTGGCAACCCTAGGCAGGCCCGGTGCTTTGCTGTGGCCTTTTTGAGCCATGCCCTGGCTTGCGTTTGTAGGGTCTTCTGCAGCCCCGGGTTTGCCTGGTCAGTTGCCAGCAGCCCCGAGCATTTCTCTCCCTCCCTCCCCTCTCCTGCAAACACCTGACAGAGAGGGGTCAGCATGTCTGCCCCGTGGTCACCAGCCACCAGCTGAGGTGTTTGGTTTCCTTCCTAGATGTCTGAAGACTTTCGAAGTTGAGTTCTCGCCAGACGGAAAAGCGTACGAACGGATTAACGCCAGAGATACGATCTTCACTCTATGGGTCTACAGCCCAGGTAAAGCCGGAGCTCAAACTCCATGTACTCTGTCCCCTCCGCATTCCCACTCTGTGGAAAGCCTGCACAGCGCTATTTGTCAGTAAGTTTAAGGAATACTGAGCCAGGGAGTGTGTTCCCAGGGCTTCAGTGCCAAAATTGAAGCCAGGCCTCACTCCTGGGGATCATACCCTGAGGAGGCAGCCCTGATGGTGAGCAAGTCCCAGGCACCATCGACAGTGGTAGCACCATCTGTTTGCAAGGACGCGAGCCGGAGCTCCTTGCTCAGTTTTCACTGAAGCAAACTCCCGCTGATGACAACAGGCATTTGCTTGAATGCAAGAAGCACCTGGGTCTTTGGCCCCAGTGTTGCTAGGGTTGCCAGGTATCCGGAATTGACCCAGACAGTCCAGTATTTTTGCCTCCTGTCCGGTAAAAAAAAATTCATAAAATACTGGACACCTAAAATGTCCGGTATTTTCTGATTTTTTTCCTGGCCAGGAGGTGAAAATACCGGACACCTGGCAACCCTAGTGCCTGGGCCCAGCATCTCCCGCCCCCTGATACTCCCAGTCCCCTGCCCCCGGACCCCATGCTTACCTGGTTCCGCAGGGAAGCTAAGTTCTGGCTTGAACAAGAACACAAAATGGCTGCCGGCAAAAAGCCTAAAGACCAAGGGGAAGCAATGCCTTCCCTGGGTCTTAATGCTCAAGCGCTCCCTTGTTCCTATCCCGACACTAACTCTGCACTCACTATGGAAGGGGCCATGCTGTTTTATTATTTATTTTGCTTAATAAGTCTCAGAGTCCTTTTTGCTTGCTCAACAACTTTGGTCTCTCCCCGCTTTTTTTTTTTTCCTCAACAGAATTTTTTTCCCGGTGTTTTGGGGTTTTTTTTTGGGGGGGGGGGCTTGGGTTTTCATGGACAACTATTTTTTACACTGCCACGGCAGATGGAAGGACGGACTGAGAAGGGAAGCCCACGCCCGATATTGCTGCGTGGAATTATCCACGGTAACATTTCTTTTACTCCGTGCGCCACGTGCGCATGGTTCTTTACAGCCCAGGCGGATCTGGGCCCCGTCCCAGCATTTACAAGGCGAAAGCCTGATCCTGTGGGGCCAGCCTGCCAGCGAGGGACAGGCAGAGCACACTGTCCTCGGGCGTGGGAGCCAGCCACACCAGCTCTGCACCTGCAGAAGACTCACCCACGCTGGGGGCTGTTCTCAAGCAGGAGCATTGTGCACTGAACTTTGCTAACTGTTTTTTAAAGACAAGACACAGCTCTTCAGTGCATCCCCTGCACCGTCTCCCCGCAGGAGGCTGTGTTCTGTAGAGAGCAGCAAGGTGGTTGTCCCCAGCATGGCTGCATGCAGCTGCCAGGTGCTTTTCATGCAGCCACAGCCTGCTGGGGAATGCCTATGAGCAAAGCAGCATTACCCTGCAAACATCACTTTTCACAGAAACAGACTTACAAGCTAGCGAGTCTCAAAAACCACTGCAGCCCCCCAAAAAGCAAAAGAAGCAATAACCAGGAAAGGACGAGAGCATGCAAAGCAGCTTGTGTGTTTCTATTCTCTTTAGCGCCAGTAAAGTACAGACACAACTGTATGTTATTATTCAGTCTGCAAGGCTATGCAACCGCTGCTAGATCGACACTGCCCTGTCAGGGCTGACTCTAGGGGTGCTATGGGGCTGGAGCAACCCCTGGGGAAAAAATTAGCAAATGCTCAGTTCCCCAGATCCCCCTGTCCCAGCACCTCTTGCCCACCAGCGGCCAGCGCTAACTCCTACCCCTCCCCTCCACCTACCCCTCGCGGCGTCCGCCCACCACAAACTGGTGTTTTACAACATTCAGGATGCTCTGGGAGGGTGGGAGACGGGCAGGACTGGGATATGCTCAGGGGAAGGCGGGGCAGAGGCAGGAAGGAGGGCTGAGTAAGGCCTGGGGTGGAACAGGGACAGACATGGTCCCTCCCAGCTGCTCTGAGCACCCGCCCAATGCTGCTCCTTTGCAGTGACCGCGCTTTACCTTTCTGGTTGGCAGGAGCCGCCGTCTCAGGCTTTTACCGAGTGCGCGCCGTCGACTACTGGGGCAAGCCAGGCCTCTTCTCCGTGCCTGTGCCGTACCGCGAGGCTCTGGAATGAGCGCAACACTGTCCGCCAGCCGGAGGAGAAACCCAAGTCTGCCTCCCGCCTGCAGCAGCAAAGGCAACGCCAGCCTCACGCGCCAGGGAATTCGCCAGCTAGCCGGGAATGCGGCACACCCGGTCTCGCGGCAGACCTCGTGGCGCGCGAAGACACATCTCGTCCCAAAGTGAGGAGGGAACAACTTGTCTCTTATCCGCAGGTGGCAACAGACTCGGGTTCCCCTCAGTGCTGTGGGTCACAGAAGCACGGGGGGCGGGTCTGGAGTCAGAGCCGGCAGCCCCCCTCAGGACGGCCGGAGAGTGTTTTCCTGTGAGGGGAGGCGCGGCCAGGACTGGATTTCCTCCCCCTTGCTGCAGTGCTGGCTGCGTGGGATAACGGCCAGCGGGCTGTGCCGAACACAGCCCGACGAGTGAGCAGAGCGGCCGGCGGCTGGAGTCCTGCTCCCTGGCTCCCAGGGGTGAGCTCAGCCCCTTTTCCTGGAGGACTGTGGGATCTCCATGCAGGGTGTCCAACGTTCCTCGCCCCCGGGGGCAGCAGCCTGGCAGCCATTTGCTTGCTCTCGGACCCTTGCCCACCTGAGCCACGTCCTTCCTGCTCAGGGGGCTGCGGGTGCCTCGCCCCCACCCAGAGGGGCGCCACCAGCACAGAGCCGTGCCTCTTTCATGCTCCCATCCGCTGGGAAAGTTCAAGCCACCGTTCCTGTCAGGCTGGTCCCTCCCACTGGCCCCTACAGGCCCCGTCTGTGGGTCCCTCGCAGCAGGGAGTCCCTCCCACCAGCTCTGACTTGGGGGCCATGAGGGAACATCCTCAGAGAGCTCCTACTCTCACCTCCCCTTCCTGTGCACTGCCCTTTTAAAGCCTGCCTCCCTCTTCCCAGCAGGCACTGCTTCCACCCAGTCACATGCGCCTGCTGCGGACTACATCCCCCAGCGTGCCTTGCCTTAAATGAGACAAGGCTTTGTGGCAGAAAGCCTGGGCCTTGCCTTCCCCTCGTGGGCAGCCAAATGTTTGTTAGCGGCTCCATTTAGAGGCTTTTATACATTTCTCCGATTGAGGCATGAAATGCTTCGGTATGTGACGGATGCCTGGTAACGGACGTGTGTTAATTAGAAAATCTACCCTTGGGACTGGGGTATTAGCATGTCATTGCCTCCCACAAAACAAAGGAGTACTGAATACTGCGCCCAGGCAATGGTTGTCAGGTTACATTTTTTCTTCAAAAATGTGTGTTTGGGTTGAACAAAACAGTGCCTGAATTTGTGGCAAATTTGCCAGACCGTTTTGGTTGGAAAACAAAACAAAACAACCCCAAACCAAACACGTTTCAAAATGAAAATGTTTTGACTTGGATTCAAAACAGCTTTGTTCTGAATGTTGCTTCAGTCTAATTTGAAAATAATGTTTTTAAAGACTCCCACTAAACAGCGTGTGGCTTGGCCTGAGCTGACAGACTTTTCAGTATGGCCCCCAGACTTGCAAGTCCGCTGCTTGGCACAGCTCTTGGGGACACCTCTGTGCTCGTGCTAATGCCTGTTGTACAGCGCGACGTGCTCTGTGCGTTTAGTCCGGCCCCTCATCACTGGACTGCTTTGCAGCGTGTTTTTAAAAAGATCACTGCAGTGAAAAGAGCGAGGCTACGGTGGAGGAACACACCTCTATTACGAACAACGCGTATGCTCTGTGGTGATATAATATACCTCACCACCATAACAAAGCAGGCACACTTGCACTGCAATATGAAATCAGCTGCATAGTACCAGGGAGGAAGCGTTTGGCATGGTGGATTCAAATGGGATTTGTCTCACACCCGGATTCAGTACCAGGGCTATGTCATTAACATCAGCAACACATTCCCCGGCCTTCCCCAGCCTCCTAGCTATGGATTTTGTACCCCTCCTTCATTGATTCTAGGCACAGGTAACAACCACTGAGATGGAATTAAAGTTGAGAGCAGAGGCCTGGAAAAATATGTTTAATTACGAGGCCACCTAGTGACTGGATTTTATTAACGCAGCAGAAGTTTTCCATCCCCGTCTGCCTCGGTAACAGAGAGGAAACTACGTTACAGGGACGTTGCATGTGTTCCCGCACAGATGAAGCCAGAAAGGACAGTTACTGTTAAATAAATCCAACAATGTCAATGCATAGAAATGCAGCGTTAATTCTGCACTCTGCAGTGAGACCTGGCAGAGGGAGAAACGTTTAGCTTTCAAAATCATGTGTCTCGTCAGCAGCCCCCTGCACTGTCCAGCCTTAATCACAGCCGGTATTTCCATAGCATCGCGCCATGGCGTCTGCTGAAGGAGAAGTTAAGGTAAGAATAGTCCAGTGTCACTCGTGCACAAGAGTTTCCATGAGTTAATCCTGTGAGCAGCACGAAGCGGCTGCCATGCCAAAATTGAACGTGTGGTTTAACTGAGCTGGTGGCTGCCCTTACGATTCCTGTCCACATCTTGAAAGACTCTTGTCTCATCCTTCTTCCTACACATCTCCGGGTGCATACAACCCACGTGCCTCCCCACCCCCACCGCTTCCTGGCTTATAGACGCAGGGGGAGTCTAGAAGCGTCCACTGCCCGGAATGGGAGCTGCAGGTGATTAGCATCTCGGGCTTAGGGTACTGTGTTTCAAACATTCTAATGTGGCTTTCGATGCCGGAAAATTTCAGCCTCAGTGGGTACATTTTCTAAGCACTGAAGACAGGCTGCTGCAATGGGAAGTGTTAGGCATCACTACTCCCTCCTCCTCACGTGCTTTGTATTATGGAGACTCCTGCTGGGGCAGCCATGAGGCCTTAGGATGGTGGTACCAATATTCCACAATCCTTAGGGCCTCGGTGACTCCCCACAGGCCCTTGCCGGTGACAGGCAACCCCTGTGACTCCTAGGACAGCCCGGGTTATCACGAGAGGATACCACAGACAGCAGACAAGGATAAACAGCGTTTGATTCTTGCAAAGGATGGGGAGAAATGAAAGCCTAGAAAGGGAATTGGCAGTTGTCCTCAGGGTGCCAAGTAACCCATCCCACTGCACTCGGCAGCACGGCCGCTAACGATGCTCAGGCCCCCTGCTCCTCCCACCGGCCGTAGCGGGCAGGGCAGGTGGCGCTGGATGTGAAAGGTGGGAATACCTTGTTGGGACACTCCTGGCCGCTCGCCGAGGGGTCTGCAGGGCACAGCGGGCAGTCAGTTCTCACAGGTGCCATGCAGTGCTGGGACATGGGAGCTGCCATGGAGCTGGGAGGTGTAAGTAATGCCAGTTGCGGGGCTAAACGCGTTGTACGCACTCCCGGCCGGGGAGGTATTTCCCTGTCTGCCGGACTGTTTATCTGCTGAGCAGATTTGTCAATAAAGGGACTTGCAATAAACTGCATTTGTCTCTCCAGTGCTCTCTGAGTCTCTAATTTAGTGCCATTGGCAAGAATTTGCCAGCTGCTGGGGCTGGTTAGGAGACTGAATTCTGACCGACCCAGGAGTCCAAGAATTTAATCCACACACCAATGAGCTGCAGCCAGGTCATAATTATTTATGCGCATTACAAAAGAGATCTTCGTCAAAAAAAGGGGATCCCCGTTTTCCAGAGGGGATCTTCACCAAAGGCTGAACTTAGTAAAACTTTAGCTTGTCAAGTCGCCTGAGACGGAGTCTCAAGCTTACGAGAGAGGCGACGAGTAAGGCGTTAAATCATTCCACCGACAACTGCGTTTGTCCAGCAAGCCCAGACGGACGGTGCATGTTTATTCAGAGCAGTTTACATACAGGTTACGAGTGCGCATCTACATTGTTTTCCAGCTGGCTGTACCTATGCCTTTCCTCCTCCTCTTTAGGCTCTGCCCACGGCTTTAAACCACGAGCTTTCGCAATCTTTCTCCTCTTCCTCGCCATCGAAGACTCTTCGGAAGGCAGGGAGCAGACAGGTCTAGTCTATTACAGCAGAACTGGCTTGCCCTTTAGGGAGAGTTTCCCACATTCCTGGTGCACTGTCCCCATTCAAATTAGAAGTAGAAGCTTTAATGGAAATTTATTTGCTATTTGCAAGCGAGCTTTTCCCCAACTGCCAGCACACTGAAAGTTCAGTTATCTACCTAGCGCCAACATCTTACCATGCACTTTGGCTTGGCTTCCACCTTAGCCTATGTAATTACCAGTCACAGAGAGACTATGGGATTGCACGAGTCAGCATCATGTGGTGGCATATCAAGTCAGTGGGAAGGAGGAATGTTCCCCATTTGTTCTCTATCGCTCTGTGCAGACAAAAGCAACAGGGCACAAAATCTACTGCTCCCCAGATGATGCGACAGGAGGGGTGCAGACAGGCAGAGGGAAGGATTTTGATACCTGCTGTTAGGACCAGTAGCCGGGATCTTGGCTCGAGCCAAGGGCTTTGCTGCAGCTGAGCTAGTTCAATCCTAAGAGAAAGCAGGGATTCTGTCATCTGAGCTTTGAGAAAGACAGCCTCAGTGTGAGCCCCTATTGCATCCTCAGTCTGGATTCTTTGGAGGCCAGTTGTCTGACTAGAAACACCCAGCACAATGGGGTTCCAACCCTAGTAGGGACATTTCAGCACTAATATTTTGCTACCGGTTGAACCTCTCCAGTCTGGCACCCTGGGGACCTGCCTGGTGCCAAACCAGCGAGTATGCCGGACCATGGGAAGTCAATATTGTAGCAAGTGGGTCTTTTGATTTGTATTTCACCCTGGTGAATAAACGGAACAGCGCTTGACACACCCGATATAAGCTTACACTTAGCCAAGGCTCTTCCAGTCTCTTCATAACAAAGTGTTAGTGTTGTTACACAGTTTTACTGTATTGGCACAAGGATAAGTCGATAAAGCATAAAAACGTGCTTATGATTAGGAGCATTACCAACACTTCCACAGCTTCCTGGGCTCTTAGAAGACATTTAGGGGTAAATTAGAGCTAAATAACAGCACAGAACACCGAGAGCCAGGACTGGTGGCTGTAAACAATCTTTATGGGACCGTGGGAGACTTGGCCACGGCCGTGAAAAGAGGACATCCAGCTAACTAGAGTCATGCCAGACCACGGATGTTGCCAGACCAGAGAGTCTCAGTTTAGGGACATGCAATCTATAGTTTGAATAATAAATTTATAAAACAGTTATGCATTATCAATCTCACATCAGAATTCTGGTCCCAGCAGGCTTTATTGCTTAGAAATTAAAATATGAAGCTAGGTTAAATGAGGCAGGCAGTAGATAGCAAAAATCACATTTAGAGGTTTTTAAAAAAACATCACATTACCATTATTCCTTTGAAAATTGCACTCGGGTTACAAAAAAACCAAACACAACCACACATTTTAACACATTTTTCAGGAAAAAAAAAAAACCAATGGTGCAAACTATTTGATTTTTAAGTGAACAACAATTTTAAGACCTGGAGTCTAGTTTCTGCTCTTAGAAATGGAACCACAAATGCATTCTTCAGCAGGCCCCTGCAAAAGGAAAGAGAGAAAAAAGGAAGAAAAGGTTAGTTCATTTTTTCTATGCCGTGCAAATGAATTTGTAACATCATGGCAATGTTCTGTTCTATTTCCAACCTTCAGTTCAGTTACAGCTGCAGAAATTTGGGGGTACTCTCAAAGCAGGGTCAGTATCCAAAACCCCTACTTGCATGGTCTGAATCCTGCTCTGGGCATGCCTCTCCTAGATCATGTGTTAGAGTAGCCCCTGGACTGCTTTAACTTATGTCAGCCATCACCAACCACTAAGGCCCACAACCTGTTTTGTTTGATAAAAGGTTTTGTTTAGTCTGGGGGGGACATGATAGCCACGTTCAAGTACCTAAAAAGTGGTTACAAGGCAGAGGGAGAAAAATTGTTCTCCTTGGCCTCTGATGATAGGTCAAGAAGCAATGGGCCTAACATTGCAGCAAGGGAGGGTTAGGTTTATGTTGTGCCTCCGGCACAGGCATCAAAGGGCCAGTTCCCTCACCCCACGAGCACTAAGTGGGGCTAGAAGGACCCCAGCTCTCAGGACAGACAACTAGGCAAAGCTGCTCCCCAGGCATCCTTAATATCCAGCCCGGGACCCATTAACACATCCAGAGAAATAGTCATCTCCTGCCAGCCAGTGCGGACGTGCAGCTCCAACTAGAGCAGTTTGTGCTGCCGGTTCAGGTTTCCAACACTGCCAGCGCCTCCCCGGGGGGAGAGCCCGTTAAGTACTGGGATCTGGATTCACCTTTGTACAGGCTGGGAATCCTTGTACAGGCTGATTGAGTTAGGATTGGTCCTGCTTTGGGCAAGGGGCTGGACTTGACGACCTCCTGAGGTCTCTTCCAGCCCTAGGATTCTATGATTCTAATCCCAGCTAGGTTGGAAGGGCTGTATGTATTTCAAACACTCGAAAGTTAGGCAATGCCAGAGTCACCATTGCTCATGCTCCCCTCCATCTGCCCTTTGGTATGTCCCCAGCAGAGACATGAC